AAAAAATGCGCTATTGTGGCCACTTTGTCCGTCCGTCCGTCCGTTCGTCCGTCCGTCCGTCCGTCCGCTAACTTTGCGACGCTACTAGTTTTTTATCTTAAGAGCTATTGTTCTACTTTTTTCGCTATTTGGTTCGTTATGGTGTCGAGTCTTGTACCAAGGAAGGAATTTTTTCTGTACCGCTTACAAAAAAAGTTATTGTAAAAAAAACAAAAATCCGTTTTTTACATGTTCCATAATTTTACACTTTTGCCGTTTATTAACGATCCTAGAGATCGTTTATAATTTTGCATTGCTATCTGTCGGCTGCCGGTTGGTCTCTCCGTCTGTTCCTTTGTCTGTCTATCCATCTATCTGTCCGTGTGAACGATAACTTTGTTTAGAAATGTTCGATCGCTTTTACATCTCCGTTAGTTATGAACTGAAATGCATGAAATTCAATATGGGCATAGATTTAGCCATATAATACGCAATGCCAAAAGTTGGATCGAATCGATTCAAAATTCACAGTGCCCTTTTCGCATCTCGACCATTTATAAACCGAATTGCAAACTTTTTTACTTATAAAAGTATTTTAATGAAATTTGATACATAGGCACTTGGAATAAAGGAAAATCAAACGCCAATTTCAAAATTTGGTTTTGCGCATGCGCAGTGCCAACTTTTTTATTTATGGCAGAATTTAAACGAAATTTGATACATAGGCACTTGGGATAAAGGAAAATCAAACGCCAATTTCAAAATTTGGTTTTGCGCATGCGCAGTGCCAACTTTTTTATCTATGGAACTATTTAAGTGAAATTTGATACTTAGGCTCTTGGAACAAAGGAAAATCTAACATTAGTTTTAAAATTTAGGTTTGTGCATGCGCAGTTCCAACTTTCTTATTTAGAAAAGCATTGAAATAAAATTCTTCGCATAAACTGAAATTGAAGTAGCACGTCAACAATGGATTGCCCATGTGCAACGCTATCTTTCATATTTGTGGGCGGATTTTTACGATTTTAACAAAAGTTGCATCTTACAAATGGGAAATGAATGCAAGTGGAAATGCGCTTTATGTAAATCGTTTACGATTACTTTTTAACTTGTTGTTATTTTGTGCATTTTCAACGAACTACATGAACTACATGCCCAATTCGATGACGCAACTAGAATGCGGGGGATACTTTTTTCTCCTTCCTATTTCAAACGAGTATACACTTTCTGTTGAGAAGTGATTAAAAAAAAGTGTTTGACAGTTTTGTTCCTTAACCGATCAATATATGTCACAACAAATTTCGTAAGAAACATTCTCTCCATTTTATATAGTTTGCCCGGTCAGAATTGCAGTGGAATTCCTCGAATCTTCAACAAACTAATTCCAGATCGTATTTTCATGTTCAAAAACCCCCCGATACAATTTTTTCGCGCCCCCCCCCCCCTCCACATTTTTAAATATCCTTATGACGCATTTTAAAAGTGATACAGTATACACATGTAGAGCTTTTATCAAAAAATGGTACTCTTTATTTTAGCTACTGTTATGCTTTGTTTTATACGTTGGGGTAGTTATTCAGTAAAAAGCAAATCACGTAATGTGAATCATAAGTTATGTCACACAACTTGGTTGCACATGTAGTTTGTGCTTTTTTGCATTGTTTAGGTACGGATTTTAACAATAAGAATATGAATAGAGATACTAAGTAACCCTCGAGGTAACCAATTTTCCAATGTACAATATCGAATCGATATAGTACATCTACAGTAGAGTGCCTTTGTATTACAAACCTTCATAACTAGTTATATAAATTTAACAATTTACAAAGCTCTCTTCGATCGTTTAGATATTCTTTGTGCATGTTTACCCTTCTTCTTTGATTCAAAATATTTTTTAGTTTCGAAGAAACGAAAATGCCTTAAGTAAAACATTAGTTTGAACCGAATCGGTCCAAGCGTTTGACAGTTATCGTGTTCACGGAAAAACGGACACCATCAATTCCCCTATAAAGCTTCCATCGCTTTGCTCTAAACCGATACAACGCAACATCGAAGGATCCTCAGTATTATTATCATCAGTTTTTTGCTAGAGATAATACTTAACCAATAGGAGAAGAAAACTTCATAAACCCTGCGTCCCAGATGAAACGCATTATAAATAGGCAAACATAATTACTTATAATGTACTTTTTCGCGGATCTACGACGTTAGCGTTCAACGTAGGTACGTTATTGCGCTTGTCTAATTCTATAGAAACTGATTGGAGTAGTAGGTACCTTGACGCTAATTTCAAACACATCGTGAATCCTTCGCGAAAAAATACATTTTCGTTTCCCTATGGTGCGTTCTACCTACTTAAGACGCACTGTAGGTATATATCGTGCGGTATAGTAACAGTAAAATCAAAAATTATAGCTAGTCAATAATAATACCTACGAGTGAAAAGAAGTAACCAACAAAGTACCGATCTTCACATTTATTCGCATGTAGGTGGATAAGGTTACTTATATGTATCTTTTCCATGTAGATAATTGATAGTAAAGGGTAAGTATGCAAAACCTTTGACTTTGGAATACCTTAATAAAATATCTGCAAAGTGGTACGCAGTGGAACAAAATGGAGTTAGTGACCTATGAAAACATACTTTTCCAGGCCTTAGTAGATCAGATCACAGAATAAAGCCGATCAATATGTTAAGCGTCGACTTTAAAAATTTTCTCGAGACACGGAATCGACTTTTATAGGCATAACCTAATTTTCCTTCTTAAATTGGGGTTAAGACGAAAATAGATATTTTACTGCCTTGTGGCGACTGTATTTGAAAAATTAGAAAAAGAAGAAGTAGATACACCTATACCTATTTTGGTAGGTAGGTGAGAGTGTCGTATAAAATCAATGTAAATAGGTACCGATGCCTGTCTGCAACGACAGCAATAAAATAAGGGTTTTCTCCGGAATTAAAATCCCCTCTCTTTTGCGAACGGTTTCCTTGCCTATGAAAACGTGCTCTCTCGGACGATCAACACTTTCCGGTAACATCATATTTTGGCAACATTTCGCCGATTTCAGCAAGATGTAATATGTCGCATTTGCGTCGGACGTAGCGTACATTATTGCCAGAAACTCGGCAGACTCAGAATAAGAGCTGAAGTTTTCGACTGGACTTTCTTTCACTTGTCTCTCACTGTCCAAAATCACACTTTAGAATGTCGTATGGTGAAAACTTGATACCTACTGACTGAGCAATTATTATACCCAGAACACGGTTTGCGCGAACTTCAGGAATTTACAAGTTTTCAAAATTGCGAAGACACATTCTTGTGCGTAAATCTCCATTTTAACTATGGTTTGTCAATTTTGTTCGCAGTTATTTTTGTAACATTTTATTGCTTTAGACGGAAAATATCAGATTGGTTTCAGAAACTGTTCTATTTGTATATGTCCAGCTCTAAAATTTAGTAAAAACGTTCGCACAGTAGAAAATGTAGAAATAAGGTCAGTAATACTGCAAGGACCAGTCATAAAACACATTGTATAAGTTGGGTGGCACATTTACAATAAAACGACTTATACTTAATAATTTGGGAACGAAATGTGATATCACCATGCACTTTTCACTAAACATATGACACCGAGGGAAACACATTGAACGGTAACTTTAGTTCACTTTTCTCATTTTACCCACACCGCACCTTTCCTAAAGAGCGCCATACCACGTGTGTCATATTATAATGTTATACCTATGTTTAGTAAAAATCTTATGACGATATTACATGCCTGATCTAATCAATTATTAAGGATTGATCGTTTAAAATGCCCCATCCTCTATAGTACACATATGTATAGGTAGTCAGCTTGCATATATTATAGTACGTTAGGTATTGCTTTTCAGTACCTATCTCTTTGTCTTTCTTAACAGAGAAATGTCACATTCACAAAATCTACCGAATGGGCCTTCACAAGAAGTACCGGACAATAAAAATATCTACGAGTTGGTAAGAAAAACATTGAGAGTATATAATTGGGTTAGTGAAGTATTGATATTCAAATAATAGAAAATGAAAGTTATTGAAACAACTTTCCCCATTTGGTTTTTCGAGCCAGGCACCATCAGAATAACGATAACCCTGTTGTGTGACATGCCATTCTTAAATTCTCAAATAGCTGTTTTAAAGATATTATTGCTTAATTGTATAGACAATTTAGGGTTAACTTTAAATGCCCAATTATAACATTTACTTACATTACATTTTCGACGGATATTGAAAGTGTATTTCGTATTAGGCGAATGTGCCGGAAAGGGTTAGTCAGTTTGAGCAGCCAAGCGCACCGCAACAAGTAGATGGAAATGTTCGGCCGTTATTAACTCGAATAGACAGTAGAGTTAACTTAAATGTGCGTCTAGGCTTTCCGAATCCACTCCTTAGGCCACAACTGTCAAGGCCACCTCCACCGGGAGGAACCCCGTTCGTTCAACGTCCTTTAATACAACAACAACGTCCTCCGCTGGCTGCACAAAATTTATATCCAAGACAGCCAGTTTCACATAACATCATACCAACTACCAGACCACAGATCACTCCCGGATTTAGGCCCACACCACCAAATTTCGGTAGACCCCCTTTATTAACTCCGAGACCGCAGAACATCTATCAGCAAAGATCGTTTCCTCTTCCAACAACAACAAGTAAACCGACACTTTCTAACAATTTAACAAAAAGTCAAACGCTGGATTCCTACGAATGTAATTCATCTCAAGAAGATAATGTGTCAGCAATTGAGGCAGCTAACAATGAAGAAGAAGAACAAACAGAGATCAACTTAAATGATGAATTTCAAAAAGACCAAAAAAGTTCAGTTGGGGATGTTGAAGATGAAAACCTCATTCCAGATTTATCCAGACAAATCGAGCAAAATCCACGACCCGAAACGCGGATGGAAGGACGGATGGACAACCAACCCCTTGCGAACAATTCGCGCGAAGAGCTAAACAAAGCAACCACAAATTTGCAGTCGAACCCACCTTCTCCTCAGCCTTACATGAGAAGAGCCCATGTTACGAGAACGCCATCACCAACACAGGAAAACCCAACGACTTCTTCGCCAAAACAATCTGCGTCAAAGAGAGCAGAAAAACCAAAGTCGCCCAATTTATTGAAAAATGATAGAAAATCTCCCGAAACTAAAACACGGTCTTCCTCAAAATTACGTCTTTATAAAGCAGGTTAATTTTAAAATTTTATTCATTTTGATCATGTGAGAATTAATTGAGGTTTTTGTTACAGAAGGAGATAATGACAGTGGAGTGGATGAGTCCACCCAAGGAAACGTAAGTATTCCTCTTCTCCTACCCATTGTAACGTTTTTAATTGAAATAACGTTAAACAGATTTATTCCATACAATGTTTTCTGGCGCTATTGCTATATTTATAACTTTCTCATTATTATAGGCACGATTCAGGAAGTCTGTTGAATGACCAAAGATGAAACTTTTTTTCAGGATTACATTACAATGGTCTAAAGACATTTTTTCAGAGAAAAAAACACTGCATCTGTTCATACACTCATAAACTCATAATTTTCCGTTTTTCAAAACCGTGGAAATCCACAAAATAAAAAGGTACATTTTACAATAAATCAGATATGTCTTGGAATTACCTAAAAAACAGCGACAACGTTTCATTATATGCTATGTTATTTAAACTATATATTTTATAAGAAATACCATAGTATATACGTAGGCGTTTTTTTCATTTAACGTCAAATTTTTAGTATAATTTAATGATCGATATTAATTTTAACTATCGCGAAATCGACTTATGTCTTTTGTTATTTTGAACATTTTCCAGTAACTATAGGTACATCATACATGCGAAGTGAATTTAGTTGGCTCACTATAGTAGGCTGGGGACACCCGTCTAGCTCGAAGGATAAACGAGCATAAGTCTTGTTTTAAAAGTACCTAGTTTAAAAAGAACAGTTCGATTTTGTTGGTTGCCTAGAAAAAACTTAAAACATAAAAGGAACATAAAGGGGAAATGCAAGCTTAACCATTTTTTTGAGGGTTGCTCCCAAACGTTGGGCCCTCGATTTATGTGGAAAAACAATATATTTGTTTTGATCCCCTATATCACCCAATTTATTTTCTACATAATTTTTCTTATTGCGGAAAGGTGCTTTATTACATTGATTGAGATTTCGCTTGGCAAGAGGACATTGTTTTTTAGCCATTCTGTTTTCTATATTTGCTTATAGACATTGAATTGTTCCTGATTTGTCCATGCTTATGATTTATAAAGACGAAGTGGGAATATGATACTAAATATGTTTTTATTATTTATAGGATCACCTAAACAGCGAATATTCTACAGGTAAAAAATCATCGAAGAGTTCCACTCCACGTTCTGCAACAACACCCACAAAAAATAAATCTTTCACAAGAGTCGCAAAATCTCCAAATCCAAAAAGTCCAGAAACTCCCACGTCTACCGCCGATAAGAAAAGTATTTTCCTCGCGCCGAATATCAAATCATTAAATAACATTTTCTAGAAGTTCCTATGAACAAAATTCAAGTCGGTTCGGCTCCGTCTCCAAACTTAAAAGTAGTGAAATCGAAAATAGGATCTCTAGAAAATGCAACGCACAAACCGGGCGGAGGAAATATCAAAATCGAGAGTAAAAAGATAGATTTTTCAACAACATCATCAAGAGTTACGGCAAAAAATGACACTTATTTACCTGGAGGAGGTGATAAAAAGGTTGCGATAGTATCTTATTTATAACCGCATTGCGAATTTAATCAACTTTTATTCCAGATTCAGCAACAAAAACTGAATTGGAGTGCTAAATCGAAAGTGGGTTCTTTGGAGAATACAACTCATAAACCTAAAGGGGGCGATAAGAAAATAGATATTGTTAAGTTAGATTTTAAGGAAAACGCGAAATCAAAAGTTGGTTCCAAGGATAATATTAAACATGTACCCGGAGGAGGCGATGTTAAGGTAGGTAAATTATCACAGCTAGTAGTATCTCACTGAAAATATCCTCCTAAGTGTGTTTGAACGTGAACATGAAAACCCTTTGCAAATAATAGTTTCTGCAGAGATTTAGACAAAGTACAAGTTTCCTGATGGTCATTCTTTTGTTATGAGAGTAAACCAACAAAGGTACATTTGGAATGAAAACATTACTCACCATAATTTTCAAAATAAAGGCCGATTTATAAACTTTGTCGTCTGCGTTCGCGCTGGCAGTTCGTAGTTCACCGAAGATATTGACCATTGGAAAAAGAGTAGGTACCCATTTGGCGCGCAAATTAATGTCCTGTCAAATTGCTCGTTTTGGCTTGTGAAGCCAGTCTTTTATATATGCTCATTTATCATAAATCTTTCACAGAAATAATTCTTGTCCCTTGCATGAACAAACTGTAAACTAAAAATCGCTTAACCGAAATAAGCTCTGCAACGACGGACGCGAACAGCGAACGCCAACGCGAACGTAAAGTTTATAAATCGGCCTTAACGATTATTTTATTGGTTTACATGTGTGTAGGTTATTCCTTTGAAATAAATGTACAAATTTAAAATTTTGATAATAATATGAGTAGGTACGTAATAAATTGCATCAAGTGAAACGGCAATTCGGTACTCACATGGCTAAAGGTACCTTATCCTTATCCTTATTCCCTTATTATGTACTCTTACCTTATAAACAGATATGTACCTGGGTACCTTATTCGATTTTTGAAAAATTATGAATAACAAGTCCAATCACTTTAATCATTTTGAAAGTAGTGGTTCGACTGATAAGTTGACTTTCGACAAAATTGGTATGATTTAAATATGATTATGAACGTTACTAATTGATAATTGGGACGGTAGAACGGAAGCAATTGTTCTCGCGTCGCGTCGCAATGGCTTCGCACCGTAATGGCTTTGCGCCGAAAGAGCTTCGCGTCAAAACGGCGACGCCGAAACGGCCCATTTCGTGCAGCGGTATTCAAAGAAGGTTAATTTACAGAGTGTAATTCAAAACCAGACCCAGACAATGAGACTATAGCTAATGATTTGGAACAATTTACCCAATGATAAACGTAGGAAGATGACGAACGCTCACTTTTAATTCAATCGTCAAAATAAAACTTGAAGTTACCATGAACAATATTTGTTTGGGGAACAGAAATTAAGAGAAAATAAACGCACTTTACGCATTTATTAATAGCGTCGTATAGGATCTCAACCTTCCCAACGTCTAATTTTGATAAGTTTACTGCAATAAAATCGATATACATATCTTCTCAGAGACTGAAGGTTTCATGTTAGCAATGCAAGATCCGGTTATATTAACACACGCAATTATAACAAACACACAACATAAAGACAAAACACTGACACATGGCATGATTATTGTCCACTTTGTTCACAAATCCCCGACAAATCAGAAACAGTCCAACGCATAATAGCGACAAAAATCTCCGTACATCTTTCATTCCCATTAATAATTGAAATCTATCGCTTTGTTTAGTCTGAATCTGAACACAAACTGGAAGAAATTAGAAGAGATGTGAGTAAACATATTATGGTCACAAAAAATCACAATAAAATTTCTACTTTCACGTAGTCTACACAATTACGTAGGCAGAGACATTTGCACTTTGCATCTTTACTGCAACACTTGTTGGTTAGTTGCTATAAATATGTATTTTTTTAACAGATTGAAACAAAAAAAGTGGATATTAAAGTTCAAAGTAAAATTGGATCGTTGGATAACATAAAACACAAACCGGGGGGTGGAGATAAGAAAATATATGACGATAAAGGATATTTACGTCAAATGTCCGCCCATTCCAACGCTTCCTTGGACGGATCACAGGTACGTCTCTACTTCCACCCACCCTTATTATTAGGAACCAGATTCTGATTCTATATGCATTATTTTCAGAATGTTGATTACTTATATACATTCTATTAGTTTTCCATTCATACCATTTTATCGTAGGACAGTAAGGTAAAACAGTTAAGTGAGCGCAAAGTTTACTAACAACTTCTTTGTATTTGAGACTAAAAAGTAAACACTTGCCTAAACATTTTTCTGTACGCACTCAAACAACCAATTGTGCTTGTATGCAGAGCTGGGATGATTACTCAAAAAAAGTATTCAAATACCGATTACAAATTACTTTGTCATAAAAGTACTTATTTAATTACAGTAATTGATCACCTACTTCAGAGTTTGTATTCGATTACTGATTACAATTGCAATGTATTACCTAATTTAGTATTGTAATTACAATTACTTTTTTATTATACCTGAATCACCATCTCCGTTTTAAACACTCAAATGCGTGCGAAAAAAGGCCTTTAAAGGGGTAGTATACCCAAAGTCAAAAAAATTGTAGAAGAAAATCTAAGAACAAAATTTCAAACCGGAGTTTTCTACGATGAGTAGTTTTCAAATTATTAATGATGAAAGTTTGAAAGACAGAACATGTGACGTCATCCCGACATCGTGGGTGCGGCGGCAAGGATCCAAGCAGTCCAAACGTGTTAGTTCTTTCATATTCTAGTTCGCTTTCCTTTGAAAAAAACAAGAAAACCTTACTGAAGTATCATCCGAACATATATCCTCATATAAATTTCTATACCCAGCTCAGATTGGATACCTATGCTTTCAGTAAGCGGTATTGGTTTCATTTGATTCAGTTCTTCTGTTTGATTGTGGCATATGTTTGATGTTGAACTGGTTTCTCCACTACGAAGTTGATCGTTTATAAGCAATCAGACACAATCTTACTTTCTTAGATAAGTTGACTGACGTTTGTATTAACACGTCAAACGTCATCGAATCCATATATTGCTAAAGCGCGCCACCGACCCATTTGTCGGGATGACGTCACAACGACCGTTTTTTACATTCGACACCTTACCATTTAATAACGAAACGGCGTAGCGACTTGCGGTTTTCACCGTTACTCTTAGATATTTTTAATCTATCTTTAGACGAAAACATGAAATTTGGGTATACTGCCCCTTTAAAACACACGTGCTTTAAAGTTGCTAAGTAACGATACTTCAAGTATGACTTTTGAAACTGTGATGTGGATGAAATAAAAAATCCTCTTAGGTCGCTTTCTGTAAATGCAGAAAGAACATTTCTTTGGCTTTTGTAGGTACCTATCCTTTGGTTGAAGCTTTTACAAACGCGCGTAATTTAGGGTATGCTTCTAAATCTGTTCCACTTTTTAGTCCCGGCAATAAGTGAAGTTTTGAATGAATGCACCAAAAGATAGAAGATTTAAATACCTTTGACATTTCCTTCATACAGGGTGATTCCTATAGTACCTGCCACCGTTTGGGAGCGTATAGGGGGTGCCTAGGGGAGTATTTTGATATAGGACACTTGGGGTCGGAAATCTAAAATAAGGGCGCCAGAACCAAATTTATCTTCTGGAATTTCACGCCTGTATGTAGGCAACCAAACCGACCGACGTTTCGCGCGGAGCGATGCAGAGCGAGTTAGCGCGAGGAAGCGACATGGGAGGGAAGGAGGGAAAACGACAGTCAAAAGCAATAACGTTTACAAGTGTTCAACGTGACCACCGTTGTTCTCAATGCACTTCCTACATCTAGCCAACTATTATTATACTATTGCCATAGTGTTTATTCACTTGATACGCGTCGTTGCAGACGGGATTTAAACGTGGGTTTAAACAAAATTCTGATCAAGTGTCAGCCACACATCGCCGCCTGAGATCGCTCCGTGTGCACCGCCGGCCGGTTGGGTTGCCTACCTACAGGCGCGAAATTCCAGAAGGTAAATTTGGCTCTGGCACCCTTATTTTAGATTTCCGACCCCAAGTGTGCTATATCAAAATACTCCCCTACGCACCAACTACACGCTCCCAAACGGTGGCAGGTACTATAGGAATCACCCTGTATATGCTAGCATTGTCGATGCATTTAAGACTTTATTCGTAAGTAACTTCCTATTCATCCATGGAAACAACTTTTCATATTCTTTATAATAGGCTTTTTCTACAATCGATATCCAAAGTAGGCATTTGCGCTCGTATTTGACAACGCAAACGTCATCTTTTTCGAGGAATGTCACTTTGTCGCTTATAAGCGACAAAATAGAAAAAACGCTCGCTCTCCCAATTATTAACTATAAATCAAATATGCATTGCTCAGAGTATCCAACGAGTAAATGACATCTTTCATTTGGGCATAAGATTAAAATGATTTGAGTGAAAAATTTAAATTTTTGGAAATATGTGAACTGCTCGATTGTAGAAAAAGCCTTGTGTGTAATTCGAGCGCAAATTGATTGTCGATTTCAAGAGATTGCCGCGCTCCTTCGTCGCGCGTCAACTGTCTCTTTCAATCGACAATATATCATTTTGCGCTCTTAACACACAAATAGCTATTACTGGATTTGGATTTTACACCTACCAACGTTTGTTTAGATTTTACAAGCGATTTAATGGACGATGTAATGTATTATCTTTTTCAACGGAAATCGTTTTATTTACAAAGATGATGATGATTATAAGCAAACGTCAAGTAACATTTCCATGGCAATCGTGAAATTTCGAACACCCAGCCCACTTAATTAAACATGTATTCGAGTATAACGTCAATATGACTTCATTGTATTTCCTATTTTTAAATTATACTGCAGGGATAATAAAAAATACTATAAGATACACGTGTATAATTGGTCTTTAAAGCACTTGCAACGTTAAAGGCACTCCGCTTTGCGTCGTGCTCTTAAACTCGTTGCGCGTGCTTTAAAGACTTGATTATACACTTGTATCTTAATATACTATTATTTTTAAACTTCGCTAGGCCTAGATCTTACATCCGCACGTACTTATCTACCTATATTTTTAGCGCATTTTAGCAAATTTATTTGTAAAAAGGTAGCTTCGACAACATCTTATTGATGGTGGAGTTAACACTGGCTGATTTGATCTGATCTGCCACATAAAAATGCGCTAAAGGCCCTTCGACGTCACACACGATGACTTTGATATGTAAATCGATATGAGAAAATATTTATACCTATTTTATATTTTCTCATATCGATTACCATTCGCCCCCATTTTGTGAACTTCAATTCCAACGTTATGGACGACACTCATTTGATATGTAAATTTTTTTAACGTTAACTAATTTTTTGATTTTCATCGTTATTTTAAAGATATTTCGATAAAACCAGATATTTCTTAAACATTTAAAGATGTTTAGTAACCGATGCACTTGGAAGTCGAAATTGCAATTTATGTACATGGTACACCGCATTTTTACTAAATAAACTTGTTAGAGATAGGGGAAATCACACAGTAGGTACTTCATCGTGCAATAGAATAAACTAATAAAGTAGTATATTATATACCAAGGGACTTAAGTGTGTGTTTTAATCCCGAGGGTGCAGATAGTTGAGCGCAACAAGCACCCGAGGGATTAGGATGCAATTTAGTCCTGTGAAAGAATAAATTTGTTTGATTGTAAGATCAATATACCTGACAATGTCAAATTGTGACCGTATAACGATAAATAATGTCAGTTTGATTTAAAGATTCTAGTTTAATTTAAAACTACGGCGTATTAATGATCGTTTAAAACCCTGAAGAACAAGGTAGGTATAAGGAAACCAAAACTAACTACCTTCTAAATTCAAAAAGATATATGCAAACCGGCATAATAAGAGTAAAATATGCTGCAAGAATAAAAATGTACATATAGATAAATGTAACCATTAATCATTAAATTGTGTTTGATATAAGTAATTCAGTGTGTGCTGCCACTTTTTGTTCAGCGTCGGGTTTTTCACCCTCCGGGAGAAAAAGTGACGCTTTAGTCCCTTTTAAATGATTGACAAAACACGTTGATTTAGTCCATGGAGTAAAAAAAAAACCAATAAATACAACAGTCATTGAGTTAGATATCTGAATTGCTCTATTGTAATCGAACGAATCTAGGAAAAAAAATCCAATGAAAAAAAAACTACGGAAAAAAAATCCAGGAAAAAAGAGGCACGGAAAAAAAACCAGCGGAAAAATAAGCCAGGTAAAAAAAGTCAGCGGAAACAAAATCCAGGAAAAAACAGTCAGGAAAAAAGAATGTATATTAAATTAAAGGAACAGTGTTCTTTTCTGGCTTAATTTTCTAAATTATATTGTAGGCAATTATCAGGATTGTTACTTAACGATGGGTTAATGCATTCTTTTCTTCATCCTCTTACTTGCATTCTTCAAATGCTTGTAAAATATCTTTTTTGCCTTTGTCTTAAGTAACGTACGTAAGTAGTTTCTTGCGTTTTTACGAATTAACGTTATTTCTTATTAAAAATAGATGATGTTACCATCAAGGGTAACTTTGTCAAATGTAAACTACCTCTACCTATCTCTTACAGTTCCCGAGATCCCCATGGTGGCCTTTGAATTTGAATCACCCTGTATAGTTCAATTATTACACATTACACTAAACTGACTAAATTAATACTAATATACTAAAATGCACCACAACTGAAAACTTGCAGAGACGACTAAACACCCTTTGCGTAGAATACAGAGACGGGGCCCGAACTATGGAAGATTTCATTTTAGCCGTAGGTCATACTATTCGATTTACATAGTTCATTGAAACTATTATACTTCATTTCTTTATACATATTTTGTATTGTCAACAGTACGCCCTGGCCCTAGTTGTTATTAAAACTTATTATATTTTGCATTTATTGTGTTTTTTTTTACGTAACGCTATCACAGGTTTAGGTACTTCCCTTTTTCTCATACAGATTTTTCCGTAGATGTTTTTCCGTTTTTTCCTTGGATGGTAAATCCTGTACTTTTTCCATAGATTAATTTTCCATGGATTATTTTTCCATGGATTATGTTTCCATGGATTATTATTCTATGGATTATACTTCCGGTGGATTTTTGTTCCGTAGGATTTTTTTTCCGTGGCTGTTTTTTCCTGGATTTTTTTTCCGTAGTTTTTTTTTCATTGGATTTTTTTTCCGCTGACGTAATCGAACAATGGTTACCCTACATCCGTGAATACTACGAAGGCGTAGAACGGACAAGGTAGATCAAATTATAATAATCTCGAGAAAAAAGTCGGGATTTTTATTTATGACTACAATTTTATTACAAAACACGATTACCAGTAAACAGAGTAATTAAATTAAAGTTACAATTGCAGTACTTTAAAAGTATTTACACAAAAAGAAATTCAATACTGTAATCAAATACAATTTTGTACCTATTCGAATACTTCCCAGCTCTGCTTGGAGGTGTATTGTTTTGGTTATTAATAGTAATAATAATTAACTGGTGTGCTTAATTTATTACCAACGTTATAAAATGGAGACTCGGCTCATATAACCTACAGTACCTATAAAGAAGTAGGTAGTAAATATCATATACGTAAAGGTGGGTGTGATTAGTTTGATGGGATTAGGCTTTTATTAAAGAAAAGATGGAAAAAGTATTAATATTGTACCTATACGCAGATTAAGTACCCATCTACCAGCGGACTTTGTTCTTAATGAAGAGAAAGTTAGAAAGTGCTAAACCTGTTGATCCTGCTCGTCGGAGCAGTGCATTTTTTCGTGTTCACAACGAAATGGGTTAAAAGGGCCAGACTAAACGATCACCAAATTTAGTTCCTGTGTATAACATTTGGTTCGACTGATAAGTTGACTTTCGACAAAAATGGCATGATTTAAATATGATTATGAACGTTAATAATTCATAATCGGGACGAAGAAATTTTAATTGCAACGGTGTTTCGCTTTTGAAAAATACTTCTTATCGACATTCGTTTCTTAATACAGTGCGTTATCTCTTGTATTTGGCGAGATACGAAAAATTTGTGAAATATAATTTTATATGTGACATTACGATCTATCCGATCGCATATTCAAACTTTCGGTGTCACTTCCGGTTTGACCGGAAATATTTTTTCAAATGCAATGCCTATATTTTTACGATACCTATTTCAAAAGAGTAATCAATTTGCAGTATGACAACAAAATTTGCATATGGTTGATATACAAAAAAAAATAGAGAAATTAGTGATTCAATATTTAGAAAATTTATAAAATTTAGCATGTCGTGTGCTGTCAGGACGTGCGGTGCCTGTTGCATTACGAAAGAAATGGGATCTGTTATCAATAAAAAAGAAAGCAACCAATATTTGCGTAATGAAGCAGCTCAGGTTGAAGTTCTTGGCCAATTTGCCATAAATCCCTCAATGTCAACATTTATAGTTTTAGTCAATTATAAAATTTTTGTTAAATTGTCTTAATCAATATCGACTTTATTGGTACCACTGGAAAGCATTTTTCAGTAGCTCTCCAACGATGTGTCACAAGTATAGGGTTGCTATTTAGGATTTTTGAAGAGAGAGGGCTGGGGGGTTAAGAAAGGGGTGGGGGGTTGTCACTCATAACGTTACTCTGGTTCCTTCTCGATACCCCCGAAACGGTTTTGCGCGATTTTCAATAACCTCTTTAGTATGGAAATTATGGCCGACTGCAAGTTTTAAAATTGACACGACGTATGTATGTAAATGTTATGTTGTTATACAGCAAATTATTGCTCTTTTGAAATATCGTAAAAATATAGGTATATTGCATTTGAAAAACGATTTCCGGTCAAACCGGAAGTTTGAATATGCGCTCGCCAAATAAAATAGATATTTCTTTCTTCAAACGCAATGTACGAATATATATTTTTTTGTCACTCTACTTTCATTCTGGATCCCACCTATACTTCCACTTTCCACATAACATGTAGTAAATACAAGTATCGCAAGTAACAATGCGTGAAATCGATATCCATTACCGATAAATAAAAGCGCAACTGTAATGTAGATTTTGACTTTGGATGCACAATTAAGTCCTAATATTAGTACGATACGTAGAAAATTCGTTTTGTAGTTGAAAATTTTTCAACTTTTTGCGAATATTCGGATTTCATACAAAACATCCGAAATTGGTATCTATGAAAACTAGGCTTTATCGCCGTGCGTTTAGAAGTGACTACTTATATCGGCCGTATAATCGTTTTGTATATGTGCACACTACTTGAACACTTTTATTGCTAAAATTGACCATCTCCCTCTGAGTATCAAGTATCAACCAACGCCACTCTTTTAGGTAGTGTTACTAGTGTCTTCAGGAAAGGGACGTTTTCCTTGATAAACTGGTATTAATGAAATATATATTTAATAAACTACTTAATTTTATTGTGCATGATCGCAATAGCTTCAACTACTGCACATTAGTGCTTTGTAATAGATAAATTATTTTTACTAGAACTCTTCCCAAGCGGATGTGAGAGAGCCAGTGTCAGATGAGAATCTCAACAGACAGCACTAATATCAACATTTTATACCACCAAAAAAGAAAAATATGTTTGTTTAAAATACCAAAATATAGGTGGAATCTCTTTCGCCAGTTTTGAGACCGAACGAACAAAACTGTTTGCGTAAAGAAATCATTTTCACACAGAACAATTTTCTGGATAAATGTATTAAATCAGTATAGAGTGTATGCCTATACAAAATGTTTTTATTTAACATTGCATGTAAACAATAAACATAGTATAGAGTTATATTTGTAAAATTTTTAATGAAAGTATAGTATGTAAAGTATTTGTAATTCACTTTTGTAGTCACTGTAACTATAGCGAAGTATATTATCTACACCAAGGCACGAAGTTGTCCACTTTTTGGTTACCTACACTGAGTGTTTTAAAAAAGAGCTGCAACGCACAAAACGAAAGTAAGTTCGTTTGGCTCTCTTTACAATCACTCAACACGTATTTGTAGATAACATTAGTTTAAATGATATTAAAAAAGAAGTTAAGTTTGTTTGTAAATCACGAATATGTAGATCACTTTTTACGTTCAACCGAAATGTCTGGGAAATATCATCATGATGTGTGCTAATACTAAACGCGTGTTTTTTTTAATTTCAAACATTGTCGATTTGGTAGTTTTTAATTATTATCGATGTATTTAATGAAAAGTATTCAAAAATATATGTACTAACTTGTAGATTTGACTTTTTTTGCCATATACACTTAGGTTATAATGAAACACTAGCGATGCGGCACTATGTAGCTTCAATGCTTCACGTAAGTATTCTTTGTGCAAATATATTTAATTGTACAGAAGGCAGATGCCATTAATTAAATAATTTTTTCAGAAAAAAAAATTACGACCTTTATCACTCGAATTGGCGTCCCCAGCAGTCTCTTCTCCTGTGCAGCAGAAAGTAAAAATCTTGGACGAAGTTGAAGTGTATGAGATTACACATCCTGAGGCCGCTAATTTTGGTTGTAGTAGTTCACGCGGCAAACGATCGCCTATAAGTAATTCCCGGCCCCCATGGCGTTATTAAGGATACCTATAAGTTGAGAGGAAGTTAGATGACAAGTAGTTAAAAGTTAGTTACCTTTTTGTCCAAAAATTATTTATTGAAAGTGGTTCTGTGTTTATTATAATATCATGTTGTGTATTAGATGGTAGATGCATTTTGCATTGATAACCTTTTTAATATTTCTCACCTCTAATACATTATGTATCGCTTCACTTATATAATCACACAATATATGCTCTATTCCGTATTTTTTCTTTACTTGTCTGCCACCAGAAAACGTAGGTTCGTATTTCATGCAGCTAACCTTCCTTGTTATTCAAATTGACGAGAAAGATTGAAAGGTGCTTCTGCATAATCAAGCCCCCGCCCCCCTCAAGTACATTCCAACACACGGACGGACTGCCAGACGGAAGTAAGGACAAAACACTAGTAATCTTGTATTTTCATTTTTAAAACGGGGCCACACACATCAGTGGTTTGAAAGTACAAAATTGGCATACGAATAAGATAATACAACTCTGGTGATTGCTCTACCATTTGCGATTCGGTTTTTTAGCGGATCTTCAGGTTGTTTTCGAGAGAATGATGTTGTTCTTTCTGAGAGAAGCAGGGGCGGACTGGGTACTTACAGGCCAGGTGGAATTGCATAGGTTACGGGTCATTAAAGTATTGGTGTAACGAAGATGGCGGGGGGGGGGGCTGTGGTTCATCACAAAAACATTTTTAACTTCACTCTCTTGTCGAAATTCTAGATATTATTTTAATTAGGATTTTAAATGAAATCTTTAATTCAACAAAAACGAATTCATTATTACTTCCCACGCATTCCGGTCATTCCATTAACTATAGTGACCAGTGTACATGGTAAAAGTGTAAACCCAACTAGAGACATTCACGTCCAAAACACTGCAATGCATCGTTTGACAGCCGATTGTGTAATAATATTGGGATACCGAAGTGGTCTTGCCAACGAAGTAAAGCGGTCACCAGCGATCGCCGCCACCATCACAAGCACTGAAGCACAAAGTTTACCACAGTACATTCCAACACCCAACTTCGAAGTGGCGACATCATTAAATCATCCGGTAGATGTTCTGACGACTTAAATGAAAAAAGCAACTTTTAATTTCAGTGTGTGCAACGCTTATTTGTATGTCGGCAATTACAATCGATCATTTAGCCGGAAACAGAGGAAGGTCATTTATTACCCCAATGCTATACCTAGGTAGGTACCTTCCTGACAAACGCGCGAGTAGTAATAAGGAATGGTACGTGACGCTAATAAGCCCCCCAGGTACGATCATGAAATTGATAAAAATGGACAGAGGGCACCTTAATAACACGTTTAGAATAAAAAAATTTGCGGAAGAAGGCCTAAATTTTCCACAATCTTCATTAAAAGTTCACTTCATTTTCTGGAAATCTGGACCTTCTCCTTCACGTAGCCCCAAAGAAAACAATCTGTCGCTGTTAAATCGCATGAGCGAGGCGGCCAAGCTGGCTGATGATTTCGAGAGATTAGGGGGCCAGGCGGCGATTTAGAATTTTGGTAATATACCTCGATATATTTTAACACGTTGCTCTGTTGTATAGCGTTCCATTGTGACTGTCAACTAAATTGTACTACATTCTACTGCTCAAATGTTTAATTTGGTGACAAAAAATGGAAACGTTCAATTACAGCAAGCATTTAACTTCCTGCGTTCCCGATGGGCGACCCTGATGTATAACTACATGTGATTGCTAGGCCAACTGTCGTGGCATTGTCTTGGTCTTGGCAACTTCTTCCAGCTGCAAGAATTTTTGTTTGGACATGTCGAATTCCGACCTCATTATGCACGTTTCAATTTGCTTACTTAAATAGCGATCATCAGGCATTTCATAAAGATCAATTGAGCAATACATACCTGGAATACAGAGTGTTTACGCACCATAGGGATTCCAATGTTAATGTCTTTATATCGAAATATTTTCTCCTCTAATTAATTTAAGGCAAAGTTGTAAATAGGTTTCTTGTAGCTTGAAAAATTCTGCATGTCCTCATTTATTATGTTCAATTCAAATCAGTGTGCTAGCCCCTCATCGTGTCCAGTTATGACCTACCTAAGATGAGCAGAAGGCACACCATGATAATTCGCAGGTTACGGATGGGAGACACCAGATTAACACATGGCCATCTAATGGAAGCTAAAGACCCGCATGTGAGCATTGCAACTTACACAGTCCTGACAGTAAAGCACATCCTTATATGGACTGCCCAAAATACGCGGACATTAGAAAACGACACGACCTAAAACCAGAGCTTAGAGAAGTTCTAACAAATAGTTTCCAGAACGTTATCAATTTCCTTAAAGATGCTAATCTGTAGGTATAATTATATATAGTCTAATGTAAAATGTAAATTTTTCGTCAATTTTCATTTTCTGTTCATTTTTGTGTTTTGTAACTTACTGTTCTAAATTAATTACTTATAACATGTGCCAATGGCCTATGGTTGTCGAGGCACTCAAACCAAATAAAAAAATAAAAAATTAGCAAATGCCAGAAGAGCGTTTTATGACAGCTTAGCAAATTATTTAACCGCGAATGGTGACTTATTTGAGCATTTTTTAAATAAACTGTTTTGTGATCTCCTAGTTATTTGATAATTTGAAAGTTTTTGATAAAAAAGGAAATTATCCCGGAGCGAGTTTTCCGAAGGTTTTCACTATTTAGGGTGAATGGTATTTGTAGGCGAGATTTCGTAGACGAATTTCCGGAGCAAACTTTCGGCGGAGGATTAAAAAAATGAAATCAGTATATAAAATCTATATTTGATGATGAAAGATGATCTCCGGAATAACAATAGAGTGGATAACGGCTTATAAAATATGAGGTGGATGATACCTACTTTGTGAAGAAAGAAAAAAAACTGCTAAAGATAATGCATTCTATGACTAATGATGGATACCTACTCGTACTCGGATTGAACTACGAACCAAATTTAGATTAGCAGAGTTACTTATCTTACAAAAATGTGTACTTGAAAATCCCAACCTATTCTATTTTGAAACACAAGCACGCGTTGGCTTGGAATAATCAGGTCAGAAAATAGAGTTCAAGTAACGCCATCTACTTTAATAAAACCTCTGAAAATGAAAGCTCGGGGCCCCATTTCTCGCCCAACGTGCAAGAAGCCAAGTTTGCAGACTCATCACATATACAATGGTATGTGTATAATTTTTTTTATATTGCACCTACAGACATTTAATTTGCTTTAGGCGGACCTCAGCGCGCGTGATGTAGAAAGTGAGTACTTATTTATGTTATATTTCCTTTTTTCCAATTTTATTTGATCTGATCATTTAGGGTGTCTATTTTTAGCCCGTGCGCGCTTATAAGGCGCGTGCTAAAAATATCGAAATGTAATATATAGGTAATACTTCTTACATTACAGGGGCGGAATTTGTATTCTCCATTTATGACTTTGAAGGAAACGGCACCTGCGATGCCGTGAATTTAGGTGACATGCTACGCGCCCTTAACCAAAATCCCACTTTAGCACTCATTGAGAAATTGGGCGGAACGAAAAAGAAAAGTACACAATTATCTTGGGCCATCAATATTTAAATAAACATATTCGTTGTTACAGATGAGAAAAAAATGAAATTAGACGAATTTCTCCCAATTTATAGTCAGGTAAAAAAAGAAAAGGAACAAGGAACTTTCGAAGATTTCTTGGAGTGCCTGAAACTGTACGATAAAGAAGAAAATGGCACAATGATGGCTGCAGAACTTGGACACATTTTACTTTCTCTCGGTGAGGGCCTAACAGATGATGAATGCAAAGAATTACTCGATGACTGCATGGGAGAACCGGACGAAGACGGATTTGTGCCATTTGAACGTAAGTAATCTATACACGCACTTCTCTATGTAAAATATCAAAATGTGAACGAGCCGATGAAATTTTTAGCATTTCTTAAGAAGATGATGGCGTAATCGGTACCTTTGTTGTAAGTAAAAAATTCTTATACGGTCGCTCGCTTCGCACTTCGTTTACCTTCTCTTTCACTTGACGCATTTTGCTTTAGCATTTTTTCACGATGCTCAGATCTAACTGGAATTGTATTTTTAGCTCAACTTACATCATGGAGTGTACCTGCCGAAAAAGAAACATTCAAACAATTCAACCTAGAGGGACGTTGTTACCGTCTTTTTCCTCCGTCTGTTACCTTAATTTTAAAGGACAAATCCATTATTTTTACGTTATCATGGAAAATATTAATGGCGTTAATTGTATTACATATTAATAATAAAATGTATAAATTCGACGTTGCATTAGTGTCAAAATAGCCTACGCTAAAAACAGATCGTGACCCACTCACGCACGCACGCATACGTTGGCAGAGGTACATACCGGGTGGTGCACGGTAAGTAGGAACATAGGGAAATTAGTTTTATGCAATATCCTGCCCTCCTGTACATTTTACAGAAATAACTGCAGAGTTGTTCAGAATTAAAAGGTGCATACAAAACTGTTTTTACATGTTTTATTAAGCTTTTGGTATACCCGCAAATTTAACAATAAAATTCAAAATTCCTGTTATTAGTATGCATTAGCCATGACTTTTGTTGTTTTATGAATTGCTACGAATAACAGAAATGTTGAAATTTATTTTTAAAAGTTTTGTAT